ATGGACGCTATGTTACAGGTTATTTGATATATTTTGGCTCTAATCTACTCTCTTAGAGTACATAAAAACAAAGTCGTGTCTCACGCGCATCCACCGAGGCTGAGTGCAGATCCCACTCAGCCGCAATAGCTAAGGTGATGTGGCTCACCTATTTCTTTGACATTTTACAGATTAAGCTCCCTCCTCCACACCTCCTTTGCGACAACCAGTCCACCATCTGCATGACTAAGAATCCAATATTCCATAAGTGCATGAAACATGTCGGAACTGATTATCACTTTGTACGAGAACAGGTAGTTGCAGAGAAAGTGACAGTCTCCTACGTTCCTTCCAATGAGCAGTTGGCAGATCTTCTCACAAAGACTCTTTCCTCACCTCGCTACTCAGCATTGGTTGCCAAGCTTCCTCTCGTTTCACAACGTTTAGCTTGAGGGGGGATGTTAGACATATATGGCAAGAGGTCTAGTTATGGAAGAATTGTTATTTATGTTAGTTTACATATTTGGTAAATCCTAATTCATGTACACCTATATAAACCTCCATGTATACAATTATTCAGTATGAGTTGAATTGATAAATCAACACCATCATTCACTCCTTCAGTCCTTTGTAACCAAATATCAGAAAGCAGCTGAAATAGGAGTACGTATGTGATTTATATATCATCTAAAATGCTGTCAAAATAACTTCTACCTGCAAAAAAGAGAAATGAGGTACATTTTAAACATTTTAAGCATGATAGAAGTATTTTGAATAATGCTCAAGAAATATAAGTCAAACTATTTTTTTTTAAACAGAGGGAGTATAAATTTACAAGAGGAGCGTGCTATAATATTTTTTAAAATGAAATTATAAGTTTTAAAATTTAAAAAAGAAAATAAAAGAATGCATAGATTTATTACATGTAATACTAATACACATGGATTATTTTTGAAAAAATGACATAAAATCGTGAGATAATTTCAAATATTTTTTTCTATTCAATCCAAATTGACTTATCAAAAGCCCTAAGATTTATAAAAGATACTCAAATTTTCGGCCTCTTTCGCGCTTTGCCATATCAGCATTTCACTATCTTTTATAATTGTAGTATACATTGATTTTTTTTACCAAATTTGTTTATAAATATAATTAACCACTATAAAAATCAAGATAAAGTTAAAAAAAGTTATATAAAATTAACACACATAAAATACATAAAAATGAGTACATTCTATTAAAATCATTTTAAAAAATACCCATAAAAATAAATGGCATAAAATAAAATTAAACCACAACAAAGTAAAATTACAAGTATAAAATTAAAACCACAACAGAGTAATATATATTTTTAAAAAAGAATTATTATTTATTACACATGCTTGATTTTATTAGATGAAATGAGTTGGGAGTCTTGAGAGTGAGTCTGAAAATTAAGAGACTCTTTTAAATTTTTCCTATGTGCACCCCAAAGTCTGGAAAGGAGAATCTTTCTGTGCTAGTGCTTATTAGCTTATTGTTGATAAGCAATTTTTAACTTATAAGCTATTCATAAGTTAAATATTCTTTAATAAAAGTCAAATAACTTAAATCATAGATAAGGTACTTGGAAATACTCATAAATAATGAGAGGCAATTTTGTAAATATTCTGGTCAAAACAGAGAAACAAAAAAATTGACTTAAAATAAGTAAGTAAGACATACTTATTTTTTCTATTTATAAACAACATATAAGTCAATCTATAAGCACACAGAAATATGTTATCAACTGATTTAAAAATTAAAAAAAGATTATAAATAATTTTGACCAACTTATATGCACAGAAAAACACTCACAAAATAAACTACTCCCTACGCGTCAACTAATTATTCCAACGTGGCTTGTTCGTCCGAATCAGTTGCATCCTTGCATGTGAGTGATAACACGTGTCCCAAGATTATGCAGCCAGGGCATCGTCCTTCAATGTCATACCGTATTCAAGCAAGCATCGACCGCCACGTGTAACTCCTCTCAAGGGAAAGAGTTTGATTAAGGAAAATGCTTAGTTCACAAACAAAATGTTCACAAACTTACTATTTGTGAACTTCAATAAATAAAATTAAATAGTCTAAAATAAATTTAAAATGAAAATTTAAACAATAAATAGTAAGTTTGTGAAGTTTGTGAGTATCTTGTTTATGAACGTAGCATTGCTCTTTGATTAAATACTCCGTATAATATTTTTTTCGAAGAAAAGTTTGATTAAATATAGTTGAGATCGAGTAAAAGTTCTTTATACCGAGGAAAAAGAACCACATAAAAAATACTACGCAATTCATTATTAAAATAAATGTAAGTTTTAATTGCTTTATTGTTATTATAGAACATTCACATATATAAAATAAAAAAGTGAAGATTTTAACGGTTTATTAGTAAGTCCCAAAAATGTGTTCTAAGACCTCGTTTGGTACACAGAATTCAAACTATAAAATTAGAATTAAAGACTTTAATTCTTAATTTTGGTGTTTGGTAGCACAAAAATTATGTAAATTTGGAATTGATAGTGCAAAAAAAGAATTGAAATTGGTAAATTCAATTCTATGGAATAAATCTCATAGAATTTCAATTCTGATTCCATCAATTACGTATACCAAACGGACACTAATTGATATTAGCTCAAAATTTAAGAAAAAAAAGTAAAATTATTGCATGTTTGAAAGTGATGGAAAGGGAAGAAAAAGACATTGAGCCACACAAAAATTACCAAATATACAAACAAAGATCTTTTTATGAAACGCTTAGAAAAGGAAATAAGTAGTCCTTTTTGTAATTGGGGATAGAGAGATATTAGGAATATAGATATAATATGAAACAAGATATTATTATTCATTGTTTTCCTTATTCTATTATTCTATTGCTTCTGTAATTGTTACTTTGCTCTAATTAGCATTCTTCATGTATTTTCTATAAACATTGATTTAATTTTCATTATTATATTCAATAAGATCAATTATTATCAAATTATGCATGTCATGGTATCAGATTTAAGAACACTCTTTTCAAAACCCTACCTCTTTCTTGTCAATTGTGCACCACTGCAGGTCTTTATCATCGAGGAACGGTCGTCACGGATCATCATGACCTCGCCGTCTATTATCAATCTCTCTCTCCAAAAAAATGTGTGCGTTATCAAAAAATTAAAAACCGCATTTATATAATGGTGCCCCAGCCCCAACTAGCTGAAGTTTATGATTCGCGATTGTCATCACCCCGCTCCAATCTTCATCAAGCTCATTCGTCATGTAATGAAAATCTGTCTCGTACATAACCTTTCACATGTATTATATCTATTCACTTTTAATCCACTCTTTCAAAGTTATTAAAAGTCAAAATAGAAATTGTTTCTTTGTCTCAAAAAAATTGTCACAATTATCATTTATACTTTTTAATATAATAATTTTAGTTTGTTTACTCGTTTTGGTTGACCATTTGTTAAATTAAAATATTAATGTCACATCTTACTTTGTAAATCTATCTTTTGATGTATTTTTGGACGATGTAACCTTTACTTTTTATTTCTCAACCAATTTGTAAATAAATGCACGTCATTCAAAATATTGTACACCCTTCGTCCTCATTTTGATTACAATTTCATTTTCACTATTCTCTCGATAACTATTGTTTATTTGTGTATTTTCATTGATTATTTGATAAAACAAAATATTCTTGTCACCTATTGTTTTGTAAAATTTTGGACATAATTTTTTAATATGTAATTTTTATTTATTATTGATGTATCATTTTGTAAATAAAATAATTTTAGAATTGCGTAATTTTACATCATAATTCTCATTTTGTAAACAATTTAGGAGCTGAGGGAGAAAGTATATAAGGGATGGAGTGATGGAGAGTAATAATAAGCCGCCGTACGTAGCTATATTTATTTATATAGGTTTATTTTAAGTTATCTTCTGGAAAACCGCCCACTCTGACCTTTCAATATATATATATTACACGTCTTTACACTATCAAATTAAAAGGGTGAAATATCAGAAGAACTTAAAAAGGGTGATCGAAAATGGCAGAAGAACCAATTCTCTCTAGAATTGAACGCCTTGACAACGTTGTAAGTATATATATATCCCTATTTCCATCGATATATTATATTTATATTGCACATAAAAAAGAATTCTATTTATTTATTTTTTCAATCAAAAGATACAAAAAATATAATGTTAATGTAGACCATATATTATTGCATACTATCATATGGGAAGAAGTTTTTTTTTAATTTTACATTAATTTTTAGATACATTATATTCCATCAAAAAACGTTTGAGTCAAATATCAAACGGTGTTGTATAAAGAACAAAAGTAACTCGACCGAGGGAGTATTTCATTCGTCCTAAATAGATTTTACCATTTATTAAATTCAGTTTTCATGATCACTAATGTAAATAGTCATAAATGACTATAAAAATTCAATCCATATCAAAATATATCTTAACATGCATAAATCCACTAAATGCGAGTGCATGTATCATACATCCGGATGTACTGTATTTTTCGTACATTCGCATGAATACTCGTTATCAAACAAATCAAGCACATATTTTCGAATAATTAAATGCTCATTTTTAAGCATAATTGAATTTTAGAGAAATGAGTATCTAGTTACTCGAGAATTAATATATTCAGTTGCTCGAAAATGAACACTCGCTGTGGATGTATGGAAACACTGTACTACGGGTAGTACGGTATATATTGAGCTTTTATAAATGGATGAACTTTGGGTTTGGATAATATTACAGCTGAAACAACTGGAAGGCACGGAAGTATGCGGCGGCGGGTACGAGAGTAACGTTCAGTCGCCTAATAAGAGCTCCACCGTATCCTCTACGGCGTCAAGCGTGGCGGAGCAAGGGTGCCGCCCGATCGAGGAGGTGATGACGGAGGCGGAGCTCAAAGGCACCGTCATCCAACGCCTCGCCAACGTCGAGGACCGCCTCAGGGAACTCTGCCTGCATCACCATCATCATCATTTCGGAGAAACCCCCAAAATCGTTTGCCGGAAAACCGCCGTGCTACCGGCGGAGACAAAGGGCGGCGGTGGTCTCAAGAAGTCTCAGCAGGTGCCCAAGAAAGGCGGTTTCAAGAGCTTTGTCAAGTCTTGTATGAAAACAACGGGAAAAGGGGATCACGTTAACTTGAATTATTAGCATTGACTCTGCAATTCACGGTAGATATATGACATTAGTTTTTTGGCAGTCAAGTATTGTGTGTGTTTTATGAAAAGAAAATATTTAGAGATAATAAACTAGGGATTATTAATTAATTGCAGAGTTAATTAAGTATCGACTATGACTAATATTTGTCTAGTTTTTTTTCCGAGTCAAACTAGATAAATTTTGAACTTCAATCAAATAAATAATTTTATCTTGTTAAAAACTTTTATAGTTTATCTCATTATACTAATATGCAATATCATTTGAGATTAATTGAAGCTCAAAATTTATCTAGTTTGATTCAAAAAAGTCAAACTAGACAAAAAAGGATTTTTATGGAAGCAATCTTGAAGTCTCAATCCATCAAAAAGAAGAAAGTAAAAAAAAAAAGGTGAAGTTTACCCAAAAAAAGCACTAAAATACAATTGTTTTACCTAAATAACATCAAAAGGGGATCACAACGTGATCAGTACTTGAATTAGTATTAACTCTGCAATTAACGGTAGATATGACATTAGTTTTTGGGCAGTTTGTGTCTTTTATGAAAAGAAAATATTTAGAGATGATAAACTATGGATCATTAATTAATTGCAGAGTTAATTACGTATCAACTATATATTCTCTACGTCTTAGTCTGTTTGTCTAGTTTGACTTTTTTGAGTAACACATAAGCTTCAATTAAAAAAACTCGTCATTTATATTTGCATAAAAATAATTTTATTAGATTCATCTTATTGAGAATTTTCATAATTTTATTTTACTCCCTTCGTCCCTAAATATTTGCCACACTTGTATTCTCGAGGCAAAATATCAAGTTTTTTCAATTCATTTTATTTATATATTGGTATAGAAATAAAAAATAAAATTTATATATAAAAAAACTACATGAAAAGTTTTTCGAAATAAGAGGTGTCAAGAATATTTTATTTTATCAAATAACTAATGAAAACGTAGAAATAAACAAAAGTTCCCGCAACGCTGAAAAAACAAACGTTGTAAATATTTAGGAACGGATGGAATATTATACTAATATGCAATATAAGTTGAAATTAATTGATGCTTAAAATTTATCTAGTTTGATTCGAAAAAGTCAAACTGAACAAATAAACTACGATAGAAGTAGTATATGCCTTCACTCTATACTAAAACTACATCTCCATTGTATCCTATTAAGGCAATTTTTATGGAAGCAAAAAAGATTTTCTTGAAGTCTCAATCCATCAAAAAAAGAAAGTAAAAAAATAAAAAAAAGTGAAGTTTACCCAAAAAGCACTAAAATATACTCCCTCCGTCCCATTTAAATTGCTTGTTTGCATTTTTCTCCCTCCCAAAATAGATTGCATGTTAGTTGTTTTCGTAAAGTTTTAAATATAAAATACCTAAACTACCCCTAAAATAAGTCACACTTCTTCACCTTATCTTCTCATTCATCATCACCCCTCCTAAAAAGTAATGTCAATTTTTGAAAATCATTTCTATTTTTTTATTTTCTTTAAATATGCCCAAAAATCAAAACAGACGATTTAAATTGGGACGGAGAGAGTAGTTTTACCTAAATGACATCACTAGTTTTTTCTTTCATTAGCACTGATTTTCATCAGTACTACCTAGTGTACCATTCCACGGAAATATGTTTTTAAACATTGAACACCAACAATATAAGCAACACGCTATGATCATACTACCCATTTCATACTTTAGTAACCATTAAAAAATACATTAACCAAAACAAATGGAGATAGCAAATCAACTTTGTACACACTAAAAGCAGCCTTTGGTTGATTGACTTGCCAGATTTGATAGGCACCCATCACGAAAATATTTACAATGTACTACCATGTTTTTCTTAATGTTTCCTCCTCATCATCAAGAGCCATTATAACATCTAGACTCAACTTTTCATTTGTAGCAATGTATCTTCGCCCAGATATCTTTGGCCTTTTCAGTATACCCTTATTCATGAAGGTGCCAACTCTCTCCAACACCCCTACCACAAAAAAGTTCCGTCGGTTCCTTGGTGAAAGGACCTAGACACAATTCATCACATACTCAATTATTCTCAATAACGTCGGCCCTTGTTTTCACTCACTTGCGTTATCCACCTGCTTTTTTTTTAATCTGAAATTGAACTTCTCAGGACATTTCAATTTAAGTTTTGGCCGGGCATATCCATCGCCACACCCTCCTGGGTTGTATTTCTTTCACACCATTTAACAAACATGTTAGAATAGCTTAGTCTATAAATGCTAGATTATTTCCAACACATGTGAATGTTATTTAAAGTGCAACGATACTCACCATAAGTTGTGTGCAGTGGATTTTTTCTTCATTCGCTTTTTATATGTGACTATCATCCACTACCAAATCGGCTTGCGCGACTTGCTGATCACCTATTGGCCAATCATCAAAATCCACCCCTTCAAATAACTACAACAAAAGTGGGTACTTTTAGAGGTCAATGCTTAAATTGCATTTAAATTTCCCATTGTATTGCTCCATGCTCATGTGATTTAAAAATTACCTTGCCCAACTGAGTTGATGTGACCCCATTCCTTTTCACTTTCATTCTCACGACATTACCTTGTACACTGTCCACATTATCATTAATCTGATTCCGGCATCAAACAGTAAGAGCATGTCAGTAAAACTAATCCACACACAAGAAAAGGCAATACTTTACAATAACCATTTTTCCCTTTGTCCACAGCATCACCATTCACGCTCGTTTATGGTTTTAAATTTTCATACGTATACAAGTTCACATGTATCCGAAAATCCCTCATTCCTATCACAGTCCACACCAAGTTATCAAAAACTCTGTCCATAATTGAGATTTCCTAAAAAATTGTTTAACATACTATAATGTCCATAACAGGTTAGCCGACTATACTGTTCATATTTATTTTAACTTGGGTCACTATCTAAACTGTATACAATTTATGTAAACCAACCACACTCTCCACAGCACGATATCACACACACTGAGCATACTCTTCATGGGGACTGTGAATACTCTCCATTTTTTCAGTGATGTACACACTGTCCTTGACTTTGGCCATGTCCACGCACTGTCCATACCACATTATCACACATGTTGTCCCATACTTTTCATGGTGACTGAATACTGTCAACTTTTTAATTGATGTACACACTCTCCTAGAATTTTACTATGCCCATGATCATTAAATTGTTAATGCACTCCATCAAAACTATTTGTTCACAGTACACACAATCTTCTAGGTGATCCCCTAACGTATCCACCTTGCCTTAAATCTATTTATTGAAAAGGTACAACTAAATTTCTATGTTTTCTGTGCTTAAGAACAGTTTCATATGAGCGTATTTGCATTATTATAAGGTAGTTGAGCATATACTTACGCTGTTTTTTTCCAGGTAGGATAGCGATAAAAACATCAGAATCCCCAGATTTCCCCTCTTCACTTCTATGTTTATCCATATCGCTCCCAATCTGGATATTAAAATTATGAGTACAAAAATATCAAAGTCGTTTTCACATGCAAAGTTCTCATCCGCAATAAATAACAAAATGCATACAAAATAGTGGAAATTACCCTTAGTGTTATCATAAACACTATCCATAGTTGGAATCTGCTAAAAAAAGTTCATCGTTTAACATACTATAATGTCCATAGCAAGTTAAGCGACTATCACAAACACTGACCATAATTGCAAAGTGCTAAACAAACAATCTGTTTAACATAGTATAATCTCTATAACAAGTTATCTGACTATACTCTGTCCATACCAACGTTTACTGATTTTAACTGTCTAAACCATACATAATTTGTATAAACAAACCACGATGTCCACACCAGGTCATCACACACACTGTCTCCACTATTCATGGGGACTGTGCATACTCTACTTATCCAGTGATATATACACTGTCCATGAATTTGCATATGTACTCATACTTCACATGTTCTTGGTTATCCCCAAACATATCCACACTGCCTCCATTCTATTTAGTCAATACTGGACTACTGGTACATTTCTATTTAGTCAGCTTAAACAACTTGATACGAGCGTATTTGCAATTTCTTAAAGAGTTAAAGGTATAACGTAGCTGAGCATATATTTACCCTGTTTTTTAGCTAGGATAGCGATAGGCACATCAGAATCCCCAGATTTGTTATTGGCACATCCTACATCGCTATAGGACGGCGATGGGTACTGGATTTGTTGTTGACGACAACACCGACTTCGTTGAGGAACCGTCCAGTGAAATTATTAACAAACGTGCTTCCAGAAAGGTTAGTTTGCCAAACTTATGTAATTGTTTTAGAAATTATTGACAGAGGATTTTGCTTGGGCAAAGATGCTAAGAAAGGTGTTGACAAGTCGAAACCAAGGGGTTAATGAACAATTCTTAGAAAAAGTGACGAAACGAAAGGAAATGATCAATGTTCTGGTGGCTGTTAATGTGTTGGACCGAAGATTGCTTGTGAGGTTGTGTGGATCGAAGGTTTTACGTTTTTTTAACCTCGTGTTTAGTACTCACATATTTTCTATGAACTCACATACTTTCCTTATCACCAGTCTTGGAAATGTTTCAAAGGCCCAAATCTGCAAAGCCATTAGAAATCATGGGAATGTGAATCAATCTTTTTTATTTGTTTTCAAAATCAATGGACGTTTTGCTATGTCCTCCACCAACAGCTCCCAAATTTCATCGCCCCACGGATACGCATTCAAACGGGAGAGATCATCAACCAGATGCAAATATAGTCGTGACAGTTTCAAGCACGGTCGGTTTCCAGCTATGTGGCTACCCAAAAGGTAAAGAACTCATATCTTCACACCGTCCATCTCTTTTTTCTTTTTGTTGTCCCTTAGACATTCTAAGACCACCCTCACATCATCACGTGTAACAACATTTCTACCCCCAAAATATCGCTTATTGGTGTCCGAAGTCCTAGTGCACTCCTTGTCCTGTTCAGATGGAGATCCAAATTTTAAACCCGTAATAAGTGCAAAATCAATTTTCTTAAAACTAACCACCCCATCACGTATGTGGAATGATATTGCGTTGCTATCTGGCTCCACCGCTACAATGTAGTTCAACGCCAAGAGTATGAGGAGCTGTCCATTTACCCATTTTTGATTACCAACATAAAGTAAATGACCGAAGGGAGTGTTGCTAAAAGCCTCTAACTCGGATCCAGACAATGTTGCCTTAGTTTCTCTATCCCGCTCAACACATTGCAATAATAATTAGCCTTGACATTTTTCTTGGAGGCCCGTGTGTCTTCTCTACATGACCTTCGGTATGCCTAACAACAATGCAGACCATCTCATGTGTTAAAACACACTAAAAAAATATACATTATCTTCTACGAACACATACAACAACATTCTCCTCGGTTCATCCATTTAGTGCAATTAGTATAATCTACTGCCAAAAATTTCAATTGCTTTTCAATTCCCTCAAAAAGTCTCAATTACACATAATCTTTGATACTATGCACATTTAAAGTCGCAAAAAAAGGTCATAAACTACTAACCCATTTTCCAAACAACACTGCCTTCTCAATCCCTCAAACCTCTTGTTTTCTACTATTTGTCATTCAAAAAATGCCCACAACAGATGCAACAAACTACACTACACTATTATCATTCATGAATTTTCAATAAAAGAACGCTAACCTTTCTCAACACTACCCAAGCAAAATCCTCTGTCAATAATTTCTAAAACAATTACATAAGTTTGGCAAACTAACCTTTCAGAAGCACATTTGATAATAATTTCACGGGACAGTTCGTCAACGAAGTCAGGCCCGCCCATATGCAAGTTCATGAGGTTCTTTTGCACAGGGCCTCAAAATTCCGAAGGCCCATTTTTAATACTTACCCATTAGTCGCAGTCCAATCCCGCCCTTATTCATTTACTCCATATTATCCTCAGCCGTCCATATTCTATCCAAGAAGCCATGAACACTTATTTACTTACTACGTATTTGATTTAATTTTCTTCATTCCCAGCTCAGCTCTCTTTAATTCTTGCCTTCTCCCATTCTCCCTCTTTTATTGTACTTCCTCCCTACTTCATTACTTTGCTTTTAATCTATCTATTAATAGATAACTTTTTTTTATAAGTTTATGATCATTAATTCTATGAGCCCGGTTCCATGGCCACTAGCACAGAAACCACTGCCCCCTATGGAGCTCCGTTCATAAAATTGATGATTCCTACCCCCTAACCCCCGGTAAACCCCCCGCCAAGTTCCGACCCAAACTAATCACCTCACCTACGTCAATTGCACCTCGTAAGTATAATTGACTTTAAAGTTAATAGTTTTGACTTTATACTTACGAGGTGCAATTGATGTAGGTGGGGTGATTAGTTTGGGTCAGGACTTGGCGGGGGGTTTACCGGGGGTTAGGAGGGTAGGAATCATCAATTTTATGAACGGAACTCCGTAAGGGGGCAGTGACTTCCGTGGCCACTGGAATCCAGTGGCCATAGAACCGGGCTCTAAATCTATTTCGGATTTCTCTTTCAAAACTTTTTAATTTCATATTTTAATATTAAGGATATGGTTTTAATTTAAAAAATTTTGGGCCAAGATTATTTTACTGCACAAGGCCTTCCAATATGATTGGGCGGGTCTGAACGAAGTCGATGTTGTCATCGAAAACAAATCCAATAGCCATCGCCGTCTTCTTCGCCGACATCACCATCTTTGATTTTGTGTTTGTCGATTGTCCCCTTCTGCGTTTCTGCAATTTAGGGTTTAAGAACACACTTCTTGACATCTGCATCTTATTCCATCATAAATTTCGTGTGCAAATTACCTTCTACAACGAGAAATCCTCGAAAGAAATGCCGTGATTTTTGAGATTCTACCGCCGATTTGAAAGAAAACCGTTGCGCAAAGCACTACAAAAGTAGAGTGAAGGTCAATACAGTCTTTTCCTCAGCCCCGCGTCAATAAAACATGTCTTACTACACTAGTGCTATTAAACGAACGGGGCATTGTTTTGGTGCTATACACGTAATTTCCCCTAAAAATAAATTACATTACTATTGAAGAAAAAATTGTTCTTTCATAATTTTAAATTAAATATGCAGTTTGTTTTAGGAAGATTCTTTNTTGACAGAACAGTATTTGCTGTAACAAGAGGAGGTTCCTTTAGAGGATCAACAGTACTGACAAATATATCAACAGCAGCCAATTGTGATGGTTCTCCCTCTCGGTCATATCTGCCAATATACACTTTAATTACATTCCACACTGAGTATTAAAATATAAAGAGAAAATGGAGAAAAAGTAACAATTTCTTGCCTAAGAGCAAGTCTGTCAAGATATGTTTCACGGTTTACCGGCAGCCACTTGGGGAACTGATCAAGAATCCACGATATCGCAAACCAAATCTCACATATTACTGATATAAGCCAGAGAGCAAATGCATTGGGCACTGGGTTCGTAAGTCGATAATGAAAGAAAATGCATAGAACAACAAGCCGCAGGACAATGACCATCCTATAAGGATTTATCCTGGATGACGGAATGGAAACCTTCCTTGAAAGAGGTTGTCGAGCTTCATCATTCCTGTACCATAATGACATGTACAGATCACAAATGTTTACTTATAACAGCTCCACTCATGGTGTTGACTTGAACAATGTGTGTTCTAAAGCAAAGCAGACTGATAGTCATGTTCATGATGTGCAAGCTGATTTTACAGCACTATGGGAAATGACTATAGAAAATTTATCAACCCATCGCCATCTCATAATATATTTCATGCAAGTGGGGGAAATCCTATGATAATGGCTGTTTTGAGATTTCATCTCATTTTTCTATAGTAGAAAGGTTCCAACCTGAGGGGCATCCGACATAAAAATTTGCCACTACACTTTTTTTATGGATTTATACCGTCATTTAATTTTAGACAATTAATTGACCGTAAGTAAAGGTTTTGGAATAGAAAAGAACTTACAGTAAGGAATCGTCCACAAGAATATCAGTGTTGGTATCAATATCTCCACCTCTTTCAGAAGGTGGGTGACTAGTTGCTATTGGAATACCAGGCTTATCTTGCTTCATCTTCCAGCCATCTACTCTTTCTTTCCATGCAACATTACCTAGTCCTGGAGATCCAAACTCCCTCACTGGATCAACAACCCTAATATTGGCTGCACAAAATGATGCACTCCACTTTTTTAGTTTCACAAGAAAAGGCATAGGTTGCAAGTTTATTAAAGGGAAAATACTGCCTCCGCCCCATACAAAATTTCTTGGCTTGACCATCAGGGGTTCAATAAAAGTGATGAAAAGTGAAAATTGTGGTTGGAATATGTTTAGAAGGGAGAGAAATTTTGTAAGCCACAAGTTCCTTTCTTTAAAAAGAAAATAAAGTGTGAAGTTTTTTAAACGTCCAAAAAAGGAATGTAGGATGATTTTTGCGGGACTGAGCGAGTATATGCAAGACACTTACGAGAATGGTTTGCATAATTTGAATACGGTATGCGTTTAATCCCGCCACCATGACCAGGAGATGCAACTGAAAGGCGTTCAGGTGATGCAGCAGATAGTTCTCCGGAAACCTAAGGGGAAGGAATAGGAAGACTTCATTTGCAGCCCATTTCTCACATAAAGCAGAAATTTTTTGTTAATAAAAACATAAAAACCATACGTCTGTTCCATTTGTGAGCAGAGGGATATGGTTGTGGGACACGTCTTTGTCATATTTCGGGCGAACATTGTCTTCGCGTCCATAAGTCATGTGCCAGCTCAGCATACGCTCTGTTAGCTTCTGCTTATCATTTTGATTTTCTGAAGAGTACTGAAGATCACCTGCACTATCATCAACATCACCGTGCTCTTCCCTTTCACCAAGTGTTGCAGGACTTCCTGTAAATATATACAGCACCAACATAACAAAATATATACAACATCAACATAACAAGAGCATCACATTTTAAGTAAACAATATTTTTGATAATTCTTAAAGCTCTATTATTAACCTATCTTGTCATTAACAAGTCATCAGGCACATGAAAGCACAAGTACTTCCACTTCTCATTTGAGGAAGGATGGATATTTTGTTAGGTAAATAATGTGAATAGCTACCATCCGTAAAGTGTTACATTGAAGAAGTTGGCACAGATCACACAACAATGTAACATTACCTTTATGCCTCTTGTATCTGGTTTTACATTGGGGACAAGAGTGACTCCCATCCTTCCTTTCATATTCATAGCATGGCCTGCACACTGGAAAGGAGCAGACATCACAGGCAACAAATGGCTCACCATTTATAGTTGTGCCAACACCTTCACCACAAATCTGGCAGACCTGATCACTCAAGGTCTTCAACGACTTCCCCTGCATGGTTAATCCCCAACACTTTAGCAAATTCGTGTGCTTAACAATGTAACTGTATATTAAGAACAAACATTGAAGAACTTCAGATCAGACAAAATGCCAATCTACAAATAGAACATTGGTTTAGGAAGTGATGATCTATATCTACTAAAAGTTAGAAATAACTTGTTCAAGACAGGCTGACAATATACTTGAGCACCTAATTTATTCACAATAATATAACTAATGGAAATGATTAAGGCATAAACTAGAAAAATAGCCACATATTTCATCAAAGCTTGAAGGTTAGTTTGTGAACCCATTGTCAATGCATTGCATCGTCAATACAGAGAACAATGTAAACCATTAAGCAGTAGAAAGCAGCTAGACATCAAAGTGGACGGCTTGCACGTAAGGAAGTAAACGAAATAACTCGATTGTATCATCGAATCTATCTCACAAAACAAATCTGTCCTCATCAAATACAAACCTTGATTTCTCCTTCCGAATCCATAGCCACCTTGTTCTGATGTGGAAAACAGAACTGTTAGATGGATTAGCGAGGCACACTCCCACACAACATGCCACACGCCTTCGGAACCTCTTCTCTCAATCTTTCACTGCACAGACAACAAATCTAGAATTAAACCGATCCGCAGATCTCATTTAGCCAGCTAAACTGATAAGAACACGCATTCCTCCCAATAGTAATGCAACAAATTACAGCAAACAATCTCGCAATCTGGATTACAGCTCAAGTAAACAGCCGATCACGATCAGATTGTCCACACTTTAGAGTGAAAATTTCAGTAAAAACAAAAGCTAGAACAGAACACTCTATAGGAGGACTACAACAAACAAACAAAAAAAACTGCCGTTATGAATCAGAAATTCATGAACCGAGGTACAAGCGTAGCAAGTAGCTGAAGATCTGAGCGTTTACTCCAATCATTTCACAAATCAATCATCAAATCGCCATTACCTCAGCCAGATCACCGACGGAAACCTTCCGTTTCTGTGCAGAAACAGAAACACCAGGAAAAGAAGGAGGCAGAAGATCGAACGCAATGTGGAAGAGAAATCAGCTGCAGCACGAAACGGAAGTGAGGGAGGGAACCGACAACTTTCCAATGCAAGAGGTGTTTATATACACAGTCTGTAGCTACGAGCTGGGAGCAGCTGGAGAGAGAGATATAGATAATTAGGACAAGTTGCTTCTTTATTTTTGTTATTATGGAGAATCGGAGATTATTAGGCAATAATATAAGCTGGGAAAGACGTTCAGGGAAGAGGGGAAAACGACCCCAGAGCTGCCAAAGAGCTGAGTCTACAGAGAAAGAATTAAAAGACTTCACCCCCACCGACACTCCGTTTACCTCTTTTTCCCCTTACTAAACTTAGGGGACAACTCTAATGATCCTTTAGACGAGCAAACACAACCCATTCAATTTCATTGTGTCTAGGGCGTTGTTCAAATGACCATTAAGGTTCTTTTCAAGGCCCCACCATCAAGTTCGTCTCTGGTGGTTAATTTCGTCCAAGTCACCTCATCAATGATACTGCCGTCTTGGTCATCCCTCAATTCAAGTCACTTAGTCTTTATTGTCTCAATTAGGTTTTAAATTTCAGTAACTTGATCATTGTAATTCGTGTTCTCTTGCCAAGTCCCATAAACTTTCCCTCCCTGTGTCTGACACCAAAACATCTGCCTCGTTTGAACTTATTCATCCGATGTATGGGGACCTACTTCTCTACCCTCCTTTGGGGGCTATCATTTTTACATTAATTTTATTGATGATTATACAAAGTTTTGCTGGTTGTACCCTCTTAAACATAAATCTTATGCATTTCATGCTTTTCAAAGTTTTCAATCCATCCATGGTTCGTACTCAGTTCAGTGCGCACTTTAAATTATTTCGTACAGATAATGGGCTGGAATATGTCAATAAAAAGTTTGGGTTGTTTTTACAAAATTTGAGGATTTTTCACCAAAAATCTTGTCCATACACTCCTGAACAAAAGGGTGTTGCTGAAAGAAAACATCGTCACTTGGTTGAAACACTTGTCACACTCCTTTGTACCGCCAATCTCCCAACAAAATTTTGGGTTGAAGCGTTGGCTACTGCAAATTTTCTGATAAATCGCATGCCAAAACGGTCCTTAATCACAAATCTCCTTTTGAGTCTCTATTTCAAAAATCTTCAGACTACAATCTTCTCCGAGTGTTTGGATGTTTAGCCTACCCGTGTCTACGACACGAGATCACAAATAAATTCCAACCACGGTCCAAACCTTGTGTCTTTCTTGGGTACGATTCCTCTTTTAAGGGGTATCGCTGTTTTGATCTCACCACCGGTCGCATATATATCTCTCGCCATGTCCAATTTCAAGAAAGTCAGTTTACATACTCCACCGTCTTTCACACACAGGGTCTTCTGTTACTTCTCCGTTAATCCTCGGTGTCCTTCCCATCTTTCCTCTACCGTTGCCGTGTACTCCGCTACACACTCACAAGGATACCCTACCCGACCCATTCTCGGCCTCCACCCCCACCCGTCACACTCCCAGCCCGCCCACTTCCCAAAATCAAACCAGCCCACCTGCAACCCAACACCAACCCAGCCCACCCAATATTCGAAACCAACCTAGCCTGCCCACTCCTCAAATCCAACCCAGCCCACCCAACTCCCGACACCCAACCACACTACCGACACCAACACCAAGCCCCCAGCCTCTCACAGCCGACCACCCTACCCAGCCCCACTCTCCTCCCACACCTATCCAGTTTGGCACCCTCTCCCCAACCATAACTAGCCCCGAATCATCCCCTATTCCCTCTCTCCCTCCCCTACCCATCCGACACCCAATGACCACTTGTGCACAAAGTGGCATCTTCAAACATAAACTCTACTCCACCTCCTTCACCTCTTCCCCACCCACCACTAAGCCTGTTACCTATAAAGAAGCCTCCCAAATTAGTTATTGGTGTCAGGATATGGATGACGAGTATAAAGCCCTGATTGATCGGCACACATGGGAGCTTGTTCCAGCACCTTCAGTTCGGGTTCCTATTGGATGTAAGTGGATTTATAAAATTAAGCATAATTCTGATGGTTCTGTTTCCAGGTACAAGGCCCGTCTTGTGGCCAAAGGCTATACACATGAATATGGTTTGGACTGCTCTGAGACCTTTAGCCATGTGGTCAAACAGAAGACTACTCTTTAGGTGGTTCTTTCTCTAGCAGTTAATCAGAACTGGCCTCTTCACCAATTGGATGTCTCCAATGCATTTCTTCACGGTGTCATTCTTGATGAAATTTATATGAAGCAGCCTCTAGAGTACATCGATCAACAGTATCCTAATTATGTGTGCAAACTGAAGAAATCTCTTTATGGGCTGAAGCAGGCGCCAAGGGCATGGTACCAACATCTCTCCAGGTTCCTTGTTGAATATGGTTTTGAAAAAAATGAACATGACACAAGCTTCTTTGTCAAGCACCCTCCTTCCAACATCCTCATTGTTCTTCTCTACGTTGATGATATTATTGTCACTAGGAGTGCTTTCTCTCTTATTTCTTCATTCATCCAAGCTATGCAAAAGGAATTTCAAATGAAGAATCTTGGCCCTCTTCATTACTTTCTTGGGCTTGAGGTGACACGCAAACAGGGCCATCTGCTTCTTTCTCAGGAAAAATATGCACGTGAACTCCTCCATAAAGCAAGAGTCGAAGACTGCAAACCGCCCCCACACCCATGCCCGTACGGCAGCTCGAGGAGGGGGTGAGCCGCTCGTTCAAGAACCCCACCTTCTGCAGTTTAGTTGGCTCTCTCCAATATCTGACAAATACGCGCTCGGACATTCAGTTTGCTGTCAATTATGTTTGTCAAAGGATGCATGCACCTACTGAGCAGGATTTTAAGTCTTTGAAACGCATCCTACGCTATGTCAAAGGAACCATTGATCATGGTTTGATATTCCGGCGTGGCCCACAAACCATCCGATCCATGCATACTCCGATTCTGACTGGGCCAATGATATGACAAATGGACGCTATGTTACAGGTTATTTGATATATTTTGGCTCTAATCTACTCTCTTAGAGTACGGAAAAACAAAGTTGTGTCTCACGCGCGTCCACCGAGGCTGAGTGCAGAGCCCTCTCGACCGCAACAGCTGAGGTGATGTGGCTCACCTATTTATTTGACATTTTACAGATTAAGCTCCCTCCTCCACACCTCCCCTGCGACAACCAGTCCACCATCTGCGTGACTAAGAATCCAGTATTCCATAAGTGCATGAAACATGTCGGAACTGATTGTCACTTTGTATGAGAACAGGTAATTGCAGAGAAAGTGACAGTCTCCTACGTTCCTTCCAATGAGCAGTTGGCAGATCTTCTCACAAAGGCTCTTTCCTCACCTCGCTACTCAGCATTGGTTGCCAAACTTCCTCTTGTTTCACGACGTTCAGCTTGAGGGGGGATGTTAGACATATATGGCAAGAGGTCTAGTTATGGAAGAATTGTTATTTATGTTAGTTTACATATTTGGTAAATCCTAATTCATGTAGGGATACTTACCTATATAAACCTACATGTATACAATTATTCAGTATGAGTTGAATTGATAAATCAACACCATCATTCACTCCTTTAGTCCCTCGTAATCGAATATCAGAAAGCAGCTGAAATAGGAGTACGTATGTGCTTTATATCTCATCTAAAATGCTGTCAAAATAACTTCTACCTACAAAAAGAAAAATGGGGTACATTTTAAACATTTTAAGCATGATAGAAGTATTTTGAATGATGCTCAAGAAATATAAGTCAAACTATTTTTTAAACAAAGGGAGTATAAATTTATAAGAGGAGCTTGCTATAATATTTTTTAAAACTAAATTATAAGTTTTAAAATTTAAAAAAGAAAATAAAAGAATGCATAGATTTATTACATGTAATACTAATACACATGGATTATTTTTGAAAAAAATGACACGTAACCGTGAGATAATTTCAAATATTTTTTTCTATTCAATCCAAATTGACTTATCAAAAGCCCTAAAATTTATAAAAGATACTCAAATTTTCGGCCTCTTTCAGGCTTTGCCATATTAGCATTTCACTATCTTTTATAATTGTAGTATACATTGATTTTTTTTACCAAATTTATTTATAAATATAATTAACCACTATAAAAATCAAGATAAAGTTAAAAAAAAGTTATATAAAATTAACACACATAAAATACATAAAAATGAGTACATTCTATTAAAATCATTTTAAAAAATACACATAAAAATAAATTGCATAAAATAAAATTAAACCACAACAAAGTAAAATTACAAGTATAAAATTAAAACCACAACAGAGTAATATATATTTTAAAAAAAGAATTATTATTTATTACACATGCTTGATTTTATTAGATGAAATGAGTTGAGAGTCTTGAGAATGAGTCTGAAAATTAAAAGACTCTTTTAAATTTTTCCTATGTGCACCCCAAAGTCTGGAAAGGAGAATCTTTTTCTGCTAGTGTTTATTAGCTTATTGCTGGTAAGTAATTTTTAACTTATAAGTTATTCATAAGTTAAATATTCTTTAATAAAAGTCAGATAACTTAAATCATAGATAAGGTACTTGGAAATACTCATAAATAATGAGAGACAATCTTGTAAATATTCTAGTCAAAACAGATAAACAAAAAAATTGACTTAAAATAAGTAGGTAAGAACTACTTATTTTTTTTATTTATAAACAATATATAAGTCAGCTTATAAGCACACAAGAATATGTCATCAACTGAATTATAAATTAAAAATTACTTATAAACCATTTTGACCAGCGTATGTCCAAAGAAAAACACTCACAAAATAAACTGCTCCCTATACGTCAACTAATTAGTCCAAACGTGGCTTGTTCGTCCGAATCAGTTCGTTGCATCCTTGCATGTGAGTGATAACACGTGTCCCAAGATCATGCAGCCAGGGCATCGTCCTTCAATCTCATACCGCATTCAAGCAAGCATCGCCCGCCACGTGTAACTCCTCTCAAGGGAAATAGTTTGATTAAATACTCCGTATAATATTTTTTTCGAAGAAAAGTTTGATTAAATATAGTTGAGAATTGAGATCGAGTAAAAGTTCTTTATACCGAGGAAAAAGAACCACATAAAAAAATACGGAGTACTACGCAATTCATTATTAAAATAAATGTAAGTTTTAATTGTTTTATTGTTATAATAGAACATTCACATAAATAAATAAAAAGTGAAAATTTTAACGGTTTATTTGTAAGTCCCAAAAAAAGTCTTCTAAGGCCTCGGTACATGTAATTCAAACTATGAAATTAGAATTAAAGATTTCAATTCTAAATTTGGGATTTGGTAACACAAAATTATGTAAATTTGGAATTGATAGTGCAAAAATAATTCGAATTAGTATAGAAATGAATCCCATAAAATTTCAATTTTAATTCAATTTCAATTCCATCAATTTCGTGACCAAATGGAACCCCATTGATCTTAGTTCAAAATTTAAGAAAGAAAAGAAAAACTATTGCATTTTTGAAAGTGATGCAAAGGGAAGAAAAAGACATTGAGCTACACAAAAATTGCCAAAAATAAAAATAAATGTCTTTTTCTGAAACATCTTGAAAAAGAAATAAGTAGTCCTTTTTGGCGATAGAGGGAGTATTAGGAATATACATATAATGTGAAACAAGATATTATTACTTATTGTTTTCCTTATTCTATTACTTCTATAATTGTTACTCTACTCTAATTAGGATTCTTCATGTATTTTCTATATACATTGATTTAATTTTCATTATTCAATAAGATCAATTATTATCAAATTATATCATGATATCATAATTAAGAATTCTCTTTTCAAAAACCTACCTCTTTCTTGTCGACTGTGCACCACTGCCGGTCTTTATTGTCGAGGAACGGTCGTCACGGATCATCATGACCTCGCCATCTATTATCAATCTCTCTCCAAAAAAAAATTGTGTGCGTTATAAAAAATTAAATAAGTGCATTTATCTGTGCCCCCGACCAATGGTGCCCCTACCCAACTAGCTGAAGTTTATGATTCGCGATTGTCATCACCCCCGCTCCAATTTCCCTCAAGCTCATCCGTCATGTAACGAAAATCTATCTCGTACATAATCTTTCACATGTATTATATCTATTCACTTTTAATCCACTATCACATCCAAGAAAAAATTAAAAAATCAAAATACAAAATACACTCTTACAAATTTATTAAAAGTCAAAATAGAAATTGTTTCTATGTCTCAAGAAGAATGTCACAAATACTATTTCTACTTTTTAATAATTTTTGTTTGTTTACTCCTTTTGGTTGACCATTTGGTAAATTAAAAAATTCATGTTACATATTAATTTGTAGAACTTTTAATATATTTTTGAATTGAACGATGTAACTTTTACTTTTTATTTCTCAACCAATTTGTAAATAAATGCACATAATTCGAAATATTGTACACTCTCCGTTCCTATTTCGATTACAATTTATTTTCTCTATCATCTCGATAAATTTTGTTTATTTGTGTATTTCCATTCATTATTTGATAAAATAAAATATTCTTGACACCTAGCTCTTTGTTTTATAAAACTTTGAACGTAGTTTTTCAATATGTAATTTTTATTTTTTATTGATGTACCAATTTGTAAATTAAATCGTTTTAAAAATTATTAAATTATACTCCCTCCGTTTCACAAAACGGTTCCTTTTTTGACTTTGGAGAAAAATAAGGAAAGTGTAATTTTAGTTGACTTTCCAATTTTGCCCCTGATGTGTTGGGTAAAATTAAGATGTGATAGTTTAGTTATTAGTGAAAAAGTATGATGTGATAGGTATGATATGAAAATGTAAGGGTAAAAGTGGTTTTTTAATAGAAAAGGGAAGTTTTTTAAAAAAACAAAAAAAATGAAAGATGAAGGATTTTAAGAAACGGAGAGAGTGCATCATAATTCTCATTTTATAATTAAAATAAGGACTGAAGGAGTTACGGATGGAGAGATGGATAGTAATAAGTAATAACAAGCCGCCGTAGCTATATTTATTTATATAGGTTTATTTTAAGTTATCTTCTGGAAAACCGCCCACTCTGACCTTTCAATATATATATTACACGTCTTTACACTAACAAATTAAAAGGGTGAAATATCAGAAGAACTTAAAAGGGTGATCGAAAATGGCAGAAGAACCAATTCTCTCTAGAATTGAACGCCTTGACAACGTTGTAAGTATATATATGCCCCTATTTCCATCGATATATTTTATTTATATTGCACATAAAAAAAGAATTCTGTTTTATTTTTTTTTTCGATAAAAAAAATACAAAAAATATATTGTTAATGTAAACCGTATATTATTGCATACTATTATATGGGAAGAAGTTTTTTAATTTTACATTAATTTTTAGATACATTATATTCCATCAATAAACGTTTGAGTCAAATATCGGAGGCCGGGTGATATATATATATAAAGAACAAAAATAACATGACCGAGGGAGTATTTCATTCGTCCTAAATAGATTTTACCATTTATTAACTTTAATTTTCATGATCACACTATAGACATTTAATACATCAAAATATATCTTAATATAATAAATTCACTAAATGCGAGTACGTGTATTATACATCCAGATGTACGGTATTTCCCGTACATTCGCATGAATACTTGTTGCCAAACAAATTAAGTACAGATTTGTTCATTTTTAAGCATAACTGAATTTTAGAAAAATGAGTATTCAGTTGCTCGTAAATGAACACTCGCCGTGGATGTATAGAAACACTATACTACGGGTTGTACGGTATATATTGAGCTTGATAAATTGATGATGAATATTGGGTTTGAATAATATTACAGCTGAAACAACTGGAAGGCACGGAAGCATGTGGCGGCGGGTACGAGAATAACATTCAGTCGCCGAAGAGCTCCACCGTATCCTCAACGGCGTCAAGCGTGGCGGAGCAAGGGTGGTCATCGTCTCTGGACAACTATTACTCTCCCAGAAGAATAAGCCTGGAGAAGCAGTGCCGCCCCATCGAGGAGGTGGTGACGGAGGCGGAGCTCAAAGGCACCATCATCCAACGCCTAGTCAACGTCGAGGACCGCCTCAGGGAACTCTGCATGCATCACCATCATCATTTCGGAGAAACCCCCAAAATCATTTGCCGGATGGTACCGGCGGCAGCCGCCACTTCAGCGGCTGAGACAAAGGGCGGTGGTGGTTTCAAGAAGTCTCAGCAGGTGCCCAAGAAAGGCGGTTTCAAGAGCTTTGTCAAGTCTTGTATGAAAACAACGGGAAAAGGGGATCACAACGCGATCAGTACTTGAATTATTAGCATTCACTCTGCACTTAATGGTAGATATGACATTAGTTTTTGGGCAGTTTGTGTCTTTTATGAAAAGAAAATATTTAGAGATGATAAACTCTGGATCATTAATTAATGGGAGAATAAGACTAAAACATTGAAAATGTATCAAAATAAGACTTCCATGTTTTTATTCTCAAAATAGGACTTACATTACCAAATATGGTCATATACATTACCAAGAAAGTATAGTAATGTACACATGTACACTACCATATTACCACAATGCAAAGTCACATTACCACAGTGCAAAGTCCTATTCCAGAAAAAAAATATGAAAGTCATATTTTGGTACTTTTCTCTATGTTTTAGTCCTATTTGGAATGATTTTTATTAATTAATTGCAGAGTTAATTACGTATCAACTATATATGAACTCGTGTATTCTCTACGTCTTAGTGTGTTTGTCTAGTTTGACTTTTTTGAGTGATACATTTTAAGCTTCAATTAAAAAAAACTCGTCATTTATATTTGCATAAAAATAATTTTATTAGATTCATCTTGTTGAGAATTTTCATAATTTTATTTCTCTCTTCGTCTCTAAATATTTGCCACACTTGTAATCTCGAGGCAAAATATCAAGTTTTTTTAATTCATTTTATTTATATATTGGTATAGAAATAAAAAATAAAATTTACATATAAAAAAACTACATGAAAAGTTTTTCGAAATAAGAGTTGTCAAGAATATTTTATTTTATCAAATAATTAATGAAAACGTAGAAATAAATAAAAGTTCCCGCAACGCTGAAAAAACAAACGTAAATATTTAGGGACGGATGGAGTATTATACTAATATGCAATATAATTTGACATTAATTGATGCTTAAAATTTATCTAGTTTGATTCGAAAAAGTCAAACTACGATAGAAGTAGTATATGCCTTCACTCTATACTAAAACTACATCTCCATTGTATCCTATTAAGGCAATTTTTATGGAAGCAAAAAAGATTTTCTTGAAGTCTCAATCCATCAAAAAGAAGAAAGTAAAAAAATAAAAATAAGTGAAGTTTACCCAAAAAGCACTAAAACATACCCCAGTAGTTGTTTTACCTAAATGACATCACTAGTTTTTTTCTTTCATTAGCACTGATTTTCATCCGTACTACCTAGTCTACCATTCCACGGAAATATGTTTTTAAACATTGAACACCGACAATATAAGCAACACGCTATGATCATACTACCCATTTCATAGTTTACTAACCATTAAAAAATACATTAACCAAAACAAATGGAGATAGCAAATTAACTTTGTACACACTAAAAGCAACCTTTGGTTGATTGACTTCCCAGATTTGATAGGCACCCATCACAAAAATGTTTACAATGTAATACCATGTTTTGCTTAATGTTTCCTCCTCATCATCAAGAGCCATTATAACATCTAGACTCAACTTTTCATTTGTAGCAATGTATCTTCGTCCAGATATCTTTGGCCTTTTCAGTATACCCTTATTCATGAAGGTGCCAACTCTCTCCAACACCCCTACCATAGGAAGTTCCGTCGGCTCCTTGGTGAAAGGACCCAGACACAATTCATCACATACTGAATTATTCTCAATAACATCGGCCCTTGTTTTCACTCACTTGCGTTGTCCACCAGCTTTTTTATCTGAAATTGAACTTCTCAGGACATTTCAATTTAAGTTTTGGCCGAGCATATCCATCGCCACACCCTCCTGGGTTGTGTTTCTTTCACACCATTTAACAAACATGTTAGAATAGCTTAGTATATGCTAGAATATTTCCAACACATGTGAACGTTATTTAAAGTGCAACAATGCTCGCCATAAGTTGTGTGCAGTGGATTTCTTCTTCATTCGCTTTTTCTATGTGACTATCATCCACTACCGAATCGGCTTGCGCGACTTGCTGATCACCTACTGGTGGCCAATCATCAAAATCCACCCCTTCAAATAACTACAACAAAAGTGGGTACTTTTAGAGGTCAATGTTTAAATTGCATTTAAATTTCCCATTGTATTGCTCCATGCTCATGTGATTCAAAAATTACCTCGCCCAACTGAGTTGATGTGACCCCATTCCTTTTCACTTTCATTTTCACGACATTACCTTGTACACTGTCCACATTATCATTAACCTGATTCTGGCATGAAACAGTAAGAGCATGTCAGTAAAACTAATCCACACACAAGAAAAAAGCAATACGGAGTACTTTACAATAACCATTTTTCCCTTTGTCCACAGCATCACCATTCACGCTCTTTTATGGTTTTAACTTTTAAATCTTCATACGCATACAAGCTCACATGTATTCCAAAATCCCTCATTCCTATCACAGTCCACACCAAGTTATCAAAAACTCTGTCCATAATTGAGATTTCCTAAAAAAACATTTAACATACTACAATGTCCATAACAAGTTAGCCGACTATACTGTTCATATTTATTTTAACTTAGGTCACTATCCAAACCATATACAATTTATCTAAACCAACCACACTCTCCACAGCACGATATCACACACACTGAGCATACTCTTCATGGGGACTGTGAATACTCTCCATTTTTTCAGTGATGTACACAGTCCTTGACTTTGGCCATGTCCACGCACTGTCCACACCACATTATCACACATGTTGTCCCACACTTTTCATGGTGACTGAATACTGTCAACTTTTTAATTGATGTACACACTCTCCTAGAATTTTACTATGCCCATGATCATTAAATTGTTAATGCACTCCATTAAATCTATTTGCTCACAGTACACACAATCTTCTAGGTGATCCCCTATCGTATCCACCGTGCCTTAAATCTATTTATTGAAAAGGTACAACTAAATTTCTATGTTTTCTGTGCTTAAGAACAGTTTCATATGAGCGTATTTGCATTATTATAACAGTTAAAGGTATAAGGTAGTTGAGCATATACTTACGCTGTTTTTTTTTTCAGGTAGGATAGCGATAAAAACATCAGAATCCCCAGATTTCCCTTCTTCACTTCTATGTTTATCCATATCGCTCCCAATCTGGATATTAAAATTATGAGTATAAAAATATCAAAGCCGTTGTTTTCACATGCAAAGATCAACGTTATACATATATTCTCATCCGCAATAAATAACAAAATGCAAACAAAATAGTGGAAATTACCCTTAGTGTTATCACAAACACTATCCATAGTTGGAATCTGCTAAAAAAAAAGTTCAACGTTTAACATACTATAATGTCCATAGCAAGTTAAGCGACTATCACAAACACTGACCATAATTGCAAAGTGCTAAACAAACAATCTGTTTAACATACTATAATCTCCATAACAAGTTATCTGACTATACTGTCCATACCAACGTTTACTGATTTTAACTGTCTAAACCATACATAATTTGTATAAACAAACCACGATGTCCACACCAGGTCATCACACACACTGTCTCCACTATTCATGGGGACTGTGCATACTGTACTTATCCAGTGATATATACACTGTCCATGAATTTGCATATGTCAATGTTCCATAATATGTTAATGCACTCTGTACTCATACTTCACATGTTCTTGGTTATCCCCAAACGTATCCACACTGCCTCCATTCTATTTAGTCAATACTGGTACATTTCTATTTAGTCAGCTTAAACAACTTGATACGAGAGTATTTGCAATTTCTTAAAGAGTTAAAGGTATTGCGTAGCTGAGCATATATTTACCATGTTTTTTTAGCTAGGATAGCGATAGGCACATCAGAATCCCCAGATTTGTTATTGGCACATCCTACATCGCTATAGGACGGCGATGGCTACTGGATTTGTTGTTGACGACAACACCGACTTTGTTGAGGAACCGTCCAGTGAAATTATTACCAAACGTGCTTCCGGAAAGGTTAGTTTGCCAAACTTATGTAATTGTTTTAGAAATTATTGACAGAGGCTTTTGCTTGGACAGTGTTGAGTAAGGTTAGTGTCCTTTTCTTGAAAATTCATGACTGATAATAGTGTAGTATAGTTTGTTGCATCTATTGTGGGCATTTTTTGAATGACAAATACTAGAAAACAAGAGGTTTAAGGGATTGAGAAGGCAGTGTTGTTTGGAAAATGGGTTAGTAGTTTATGACTTTTTTTTGCGATTTTAAATGGGCATAATATCAAAGATTATGTGTAATTGAGACTTTTTGAGAGAATTGAAAAGCAATTGAAATTTTTGGCAGTAGATTATACTAATTGCACTAAATGGATGAACCGAGGAGAATGTTTTTGTAGAAGATAATGTATATTTTTTAGTGTGTTTTAACACATGAGATGATCTGCATTGTTGTTAGGCATACCGAAGGTTATGTAGAGAAGACACACGGGCCTCCAAGAAAAATGTCAAGGCTAATTATTATTGCAATGTGTTGAGCGGGATAGAGAAACTAAGGTCTAAGGCGAACATTGTCTCGATCCGAGTTAGAGGCTTTTAGCAACACTCCCTTCGGTCATTTACTTTATGTTGGTAATAAAAAATGGGTAAATGGACAGCTCCTCATACTCTTGGCGTTGAACTACATTGTAGCGGTGGAGCCAGATAGCGACGCGATATCATTCCACATTCATGATGGGGTGGTTAGTTTTAAGAAAATTGATTTTGCAGTTATTACGGGTTTAAAATTTGGATCTCTATCTGAACAGGACAAAGAGTACACTAGGACTTCGGACACCAATAAGCGATATTTTGGGGGTAGAAATGTTGTTACACGTGATGATGTGAGAGTGGTCTTAGAATGTCTAATGGACAACAAAAAGAGAAAAGAGATGGACGATGTGAAGATATAAGTTCTTTACCTTTTGGGTAGCCACATAGCTGGAAACCGACCGTGCTTGAAACTGTCACGACTATATTTGCATCTGGTTGATGACCTCTCCCGTTTGAATGCATATCCATGGGGTGATGAAATTTGGGAGCTGTTGGTGTAGGACATAGCAAAACGTCCATTGAATTTGAAAACAAGTAAAAAAGATTGATTCACATTCCCAGGATTTCTAATGGCTTTGTAGATTTGGGCCTTTGAAACATTTCCAGGACTGGTGATAAGAAAAGTATGTGAGTTCATTGAAAATATGTGAGTACTAAACACGAGTTTAAAAAAACGTAAAACCTTCGATCCACACAACCTCACAAGCAATCTTCGGCCGAACACATTACCTGCCACCAGAACATTGATCATTCCTTTTGTTTCGTCACTTTTTCTAAGAATTGTTCATTAACCCCTTGGTTCGCATTGTCAACACCTTTCTTAGCATCTTTCCTCTGTTTCCTTTTTTATTCATTGACTCAGGTCTCTTACTCCGGTTTTACGTTTATTACCCCCGTGTTTAGTACTCGGGCCTTCTCCTCCATTACCATAACAACCCCCCAAATGCAATTTGTATTCTTTTTGTTCCCTACGATCTTCCACTTTCCCAACACAGAATGCTCAATACTAGATGGCCCTTCGAGACCTCTGGCACTGTTTCCTTGATCTCAAACTTGTACTACTTTAAAGCTTCCATCTTCTTTAGTCATTGGAGTATTTATAAATAGACTCCTAACATTCTCTTTTTCAATCTCTGTCATGATTGTTAAGTCGAAAAGTCGAGTCGAGTCGGTGACAGGGAGACTAGTGGGCTAGTCGATTAGTCGTAGAATAATCGACAAATCACAATTAATATTGAAATTTTTAACATTGTATATATATACAACTATTCAAAGTGTCCATAGATATATACAATGTTAAAAATTTCAATACTAAATAGGATTTGTCGACTAGTCTACGACTATTCTACTACTAATCGACTAGCCCACTAGTCTCCCTGTCACCAACTCGACTCGACTTGTCGGCTTAACAACCATGACAGAGATTGAAAAAGAGAATGTTAGGAGTCTATTTTTAAATACTCCAATGACTAAAGAAGATGGAAGCTTTAAAGTAGTACAAGTTTGAGATCAAGGAAACAGTGCCAGAGGTCTCGAAAGGCCATCTAGTATTGAGCATTCTGTGTTGGGAAAGTGGAAGATCGTAGAGAACAGAAAGAATACATTGCATTGGGGAGGTTGTTATGGTAATGGAGGAGAAGGCCCGAGTACTAAACACGGGGGTAAGAAACGTAAAACCGGAGTAAGAGACCTGAGTCAAGAAAAAAAAGGGAACAGAGGAAAGATGGTAAGAAAGGTGTTGACAATGTGAACCAAATGATTTATAAACAATTCTTAGAAAAAGTGACGAAACGAAAAGAAATGATCAATGTTCTGGTGGCAACTAATGTGTTGGACCGAAGATTGCTTGTGAGGTTGTGTGAATCGAAGGTTTTACGTTTTTTTAACCTCGTGTTTAGTGCTCACATATTTTCTAGGAACTCACATACTTAAACTCGTGTTTAGTACTCACATATTTTCTAGGAATTCACATACTTTTCTTATCACCAGTCCTGGAAATGTTTTAATGGCCCAAATCTGCAAAGCCATTAGAAATCATGGAAATGTGAATCAATCTTTTTTACTTGTTTTCAAAATCAATGGACGTTTTGCTAGGTCCTCCACCAACAGCTCCCAAATTTCATCGCCCCACGGATAGGCATTCAAACGGGAGAGGTCATCAACCAGAGTGACAGTTTCAAGCACGATCGGTTTCCATCTATGTGGCTACCCAAAAGGTAAAGAACTCATATCTTCACACCGCCCATCTCTTTTTCCTTTTTGTTGTCCCTTAGACATTCTAAGACCACCCTCACATCATCACGTGTAACAACATTTCTACCTCCAAAATATCGTTTATTGGTGTCCGAAGTCCTAGTGTAATCTTTGTCCTATTCAGATGGAGATCAAAATTTTAAACTCGTAATAAGTGCAAAATCAATTTTCTTAAAACTAACCACCCCATCACGAATGTGGAATGATATGGCATCGCTATGTGGCTCCATCGCTACAATGTAGTTCAACGCCAAAAGTATGAGGAGTTGTCCATTTACCCATTTTTGATTACTAACATAAAGTAAATGACCGAAGGGAGTGTTACTAAAGGCCTCTAACTCGGATCCAGACAATGTTCGCCTTAGTTTCTCTATCCCGCTCAACACATTGCAATAATAATTAGCCTTCACATTTTTCTTGGAGGCCCAAGTGTCTTCTCTACATAACCTTCGCTAAGCCTAACAACAATGCAAACCATCTCATGTGTTAAAACACACTAAAAAAATATACATTATCTTCTACGAACACATACAACAACTTTCTCCTCGGTTCATCCATTTAGTGCAATTAGTATAATCTATTGCCAAAAATTTCAATTGCTTTTCAATTCCCTCAAAAATTCTCAATTACACTTAATCTTTGATATTATGCACATTTAAAGTCGCAAAAAAGTCATAAACTACTAACCCATTTTCCAAACAACACTGCCTTCTCAATCCCTCAAACCTCTTGTTTTCAACTATTTGTCATTCAAAAAATGCCCACAACAGATGTAACAAACTACACTACACTATTATCATTCATGAATTTTCAATAAAAGAACACTAACCTTTCTCAACACTGCCCAAGCAAAATCCTCTGTCAATAATTTTTAAAACAATTACATAAGTTTGGCAAACTAACCTTTCAGAAGCACATTTGATAATAATTTCACGGGACGGTTCATTAATGAAGTCGGTGTTATCGAAAACAAATCCAATAGCCATCGCCGTCTTCTTCGCCGACATCACCATCTTCGATTTTGTGTTTGTCGATTGTCCCTTTCTACGTTTCTGCAATTTAGGGTTTAAGAACACACTTCTTGACATCTGCATCTTATTCCATCATAAATTTCGTGCGCAAATTACCTTCTACAACGAGAAATCCTCGAAAGAAATGCCGCGATTTTTGAGATTCTACCGCCGATTTGAAAGAAAACTGTTGCGCAAAGCACTACAAAAATAAGAGTGAAGGTCAATATAGTCTTTTCCTCAGCCCCACGTCAATAAAACATATGTCTTACTACACTAGTGCTATTAAACGAACGGGGCGTGTTTTAGTGCTATACACGTAATTTCCCCTAAAAATAAATTACATTACTATTGAAGAAAAAATGTTCTTTCATAATTGTAAATTAAATATGCAGTTTGTTTTAGGAAGATTCTTTGATAGGATAAAAATCATAACCACAAAATGAATAACTAATCATAAAGAAAATTATTTTATGAACTATATTTTATTGTTAAGATAAAAACATTCTAATAAGCATGAAAACATAGTTGTTAAGGCGTCGCCTAGGCGCTAAGGCGTTATGTTTTGCTCGCCTTGGTTGCTCGCCTCGCCCCCCTCAGGCGGTCAGGCGCTCGCCTAGGCGTCGCCTTACCTCGCCTTATGTCGCCTTTCTCGCCTAGACGCCTTGGGTCACTTCAAAATTATGAAAAGCCCAATTTTTTTTAGTGCAACCTATTTTTTTTAGTTCAGCCCATCCTTTTAGTGCAGCCCAGAGACTGAAGTTGAACCATTTCCAAATGATGATGAGCAAATTGAGGATGACTATGGTGTTGATTTATCTACTGTCCAGGATGAATCTATGGACACACTGACACAGATAATGATATCCATTTGAATGACCTATTCAATGATAATGTTTAGACATGCATGTTTGGTTCATTAAACCAGAGGGATGGAGATGAACTTGTTTTGAATTGTGTTTTTGTTTTGGATTGAACCCTTCTTTCTTTTTCAGATTATGTGTGGACTTTTATTTCATATGTTGTGCCTTATTATTTATAATATTGTGGTATGTTGTGCCCTATATATATATATATATATATATATATATATATACACACACACATATATGTGTGTGTATATATATATATATATATATGTATGTGTGTGTGTGTGTGTGTGTGTGTGTATATAACTCGCCTAGGCGTCGGCCTAGTTGCCTAGGCAGTATGAAGGTATATTGGCGCCTTGCCTCGCCTTACCACCTTACAAACTATGCATGAAAAATAAAGTTATTATAGCAATCTGTTTACACGTATTTCTTTTTACGCGTGGGGGGGAGGGGAGCAAAATATCAAGTTTAGTTTTATTTAACTTTCAAGATTTTCATGAAACTGAAATTAATATGAAATGCTAAAACTTATTATAACAACCTAAAGTTAATGCACACCTAGAGTTCTATGGTATAGAGTCCTTGTTCGGAATTTGTTGTGTGTAATTTTTTGGGATGGGTGACTCTTTATGGATGGAACAAATTCATTTTCAAATTCCTCTATTAAGCTATTGTAGATTTGTTTAATTTAAGGGTAAGGAGCAAAACTCATAAATTTGTTGAATAAAATTAAGCTAATCTTTTGTGCATCTTAAACTTGTCTTTTAATACGAACATTTAATTTTTATTTTTCTAAATGAAGTGAAGAATGGAACAGTTTTGTTTTTCTAAATGAAGTGAAGAATTGAAACAAACCTGAAAGATATATAAATGACTAAATGAGTTACCAAATCATTACACTGAAGCAAGGCATGGAAGAGGTAATTAAGGTTAGTAATAACGGAACTTACCTTATCATGTTTGTGTGTGTATTTGCTGCCGCATTAATCTGTGAGGCCTATTAAACTTCAGTCATACATTGGACAGGTTAAGAAACTAAAAGAGCATTGGCAAAACATTTTATTGTTGTATATCTAGAAAAAAGGAAAGAAAAAAAGTGCAAACCTCGGGATAACAAAAATATAGCTCCCTGAACAATGCACTTAGGAATACAAACAAAAATAAAAGAAAACCACTTTGATATTTGGTGGTCATATAGATTGTAGCAACATATTGATTTGATAGTAGAAATTACCCTGTATATCCTTTTCCTTTCGGATGTATGTCTTTTTGTTGAGAGCCGTCGTCGTGCTCTAAGAAATTAATACGGAGTATATCTTAAACTCAACCACGAATTTAGATCGACCCTACAAGAAAAGAGAATCCAAACCAATTTATAATTGCTACTTAATTAAAATAATACAACACTAAACACTTATATCAAACTTACATAATACAGAAACATAGATGGGGGGTTGAAATATAAAGATAATGAACATGCTAAAATAAAAGAGAAGACAAGAAACAAAATAGATAAGACGGGTGAACAATCCAAGAAAATAATTCCTCTGTCCCATATATTCCTGTCTGTTTTGACTTTTTAAAGTCAAACAGTAACACCCGTTGACCACAAATTAAATATAATTTAA